CACAATGGCATGCATCTGTAACATCAGCACTGGAACCAGAGAGACAGGCAGATCCTGGGGATCTCCTTGGCCAGCCAATCTAATAGAATTGGTGAGCTTCAGGTTCAGTAAGAGACCTTGTCTCAAAAAATATGGTGGAGAACTATAGAGGAAGATACTTGATGTGGACCCCTGGCCTACACATAAATGGCCAGGCCTCTCCTTCCCCCTCAAAGAAAGTTGAATAACTTTCTAAATACAGAGGAAGAACAAGAATTATGAGAGAAAAAAGTATAGAGAGTGGATATTGATTGTGAATTATTGGGGCTCTATAGTTTAAATGAGATAAAGGAATAAAAGCAATTTAGGAGATACTGATTAGGGTTAAAGGTTTTTTAAAAAAAATATTTATTATTTTTATTTCTTCTGTATGCATGTATTGCCTGCATGTAGGTAAGTGCACCCATTTTGTATAATGCCTGTGGAAGACAGAAGAGGCTGTTGGATTCCCTGGAACTGGAGTTACAGTTATTAGCTGCCATGAGGGTGCTGGAATTCTAACCCCGGTCTTCTGTAAGAACAGTCAGTGTTCTTAACCACTGAGCCATCTCTTCAGCCCCGGGGTCAAAGGTTTTATGCTCTTAAAACAACATAGCATTGTTGGGCTTGGTGGTTCACGCCTTTAGTCCCAGTACTCGGAGACAGAGGCAGGCAGGTGGATCTCTGAGATTGAGGCCAGCCTAGTCTACATAGCAAGTTCCAGGCCAGCTGGAGCTACAGGAAGACCATGTCTCTGTACCCCGCTCCATAAAAACCACAGCCTAGAAGAAACTTCATTTATATTTTAATCTTTCTACTCCATTTATATTTTAATCTTTCATTTTTATCTTTGCCTCCTCTTTTGTAAACTTTACTGTGAGGATCCAGTAAGAATATGTGAAAATGAATAGGTTATTTAATCAAAGTGGGGTACATACATGAGGTGGGCTACTAAATAATAAAATGGAATACCTTACTGATACATGGCAACAGTATAGGTAAATCTCAAACATTAAGAATGAAAATAACCTCATACAAGAATATTTATTGTATCATTCCATTTATATGAACTTTTTGAATAGATAAAACCAATCTATGGTGAAAAATTCAGAGCAGTGGTTGACTGTAGTAATGGGAGGCATTAACTGGGAATAAAGGAATTTTGTTGGATATTCATAATGTTCTATATTTTGGTAGGGTTTTGAATTAACACAGATATATACATTTTTCAAAACTCATCAAATATGCTACCATACCAATTGCATTTCCCTGTATGTTAATCAACCAAACTTACAACCCTGTATTGAATTCTAGTCAATGGTACATGTGCTGCAGTATTTAGAAATCAAGTTAGACTGATGTTCCAGCTTACTTGAAGTAGATAAAAGATAAGATGAATTGATGACTATTTGGAGGAAAGATAAGTGATAAAGCAAATATATTAATAGAGAATGTCAGTTGCAAGACTTAAGTTGTTGAGTATTTGGTTATTGTCTAATTCTTTCAACTTTTGTATATTTGAAATAGTTATATAAAATGATGGCAGGGGGTTGAAAAAAGTATCTTTCAAACTGTATAGCTGGGCTGGAGAGATGGTTCAGCGGTTAAGAACACTGCTTATTCTTGCAGAAGACCCAGGTTCAAATCTCAGCACCCACATGGCAGCTAACAGCTGTCTGTAACTCCAGTCCCAGGGGATCTGACAGCCTCTTCTGACCTCCGAGGGCATTGCATGACGTGGGTGCACTTACCTACATGCAGGCAATACACGCATACACATAAAATAAAAAATTAAAAACAAAACCGTATAGCTGCTTTTTTTTTCTTTCTTTCTTAAAGTGAAAAGAAACAATAGAGTGATGGAAAGGATTTTTTTTTTTAGATTTGAGAGAATTTTTCTGATTCTCATTCTGGCTGTGGATAATTTATTAATTCAATGAACCTGTGTTTTTCTGCAAAATAAAGATTAAAACTCAGGAGTATTGTGAAGATAGAAGGAGAAAATTTGATATAAACTACAAATCTCACTAGATGGAATATAGCAGGCCCTCACCCTGTATTGCTTTCTGTTTTTTATTTTATGTGGGTGAATTCACCCATGTCATGTAATCCCCATGGGGGCCAGTGGAGGACATTGGATTTCCTGGAACTGGAGTGATGAAAGGTTGTTCAGTGCCATTTGATTAATTAATTAATTTTTATTTTATGTATATAACTGTGTTATGTGCATGTAGTTAAGTGCACCTTTGTGTGCAGTGCATTAGGAGTCTAGAATGGTGTCAGATCCCCTGGAACTGGAGTGATGCATGGTTATCATTTGCCATGTGGATGCTGGGAACTGAACCTGGGTCCTCTGTAAGAGCAGCCAGTACTCTAATCTGCCGAGCCATCTCTCCAGCCCCATTTATTTATTTGTTTGTTTGTTTGTTGTTTATTTATTTATTTAATGTGTATGAGTGTTTTGTCTGACAGTATGTGAGTGAACCACATGCTTACAGTGCCCACAGGTTCTAGAAGAGGGTATCAGATCCACTGGAACTGGAATTAGGGGTGGTTGTTAGCTGCTGTGTGAGTGCTAGGAATCCAGGTCTTCTGCAAAAGCAGTTAGTGCTCTTAACTACTGAGCCAGCTCTCCACCCTCTTCATGTTACTCAGCGCCCCCCATCCCCACCCCCGACCCCCTATCTTGTTTTGCAGAACAGGGCTAATTAAAAGCAGATGTGATTCGTACTGCTAAAGACTTTATAGAGTAAGACCAGGGGATGACACAGTAAAAGAACCATGGTGTTAGCTTCTGAACAGGTACATGGCCCAGTTGTAACTCGTAAATGCCAAGCTGACTCAGAACAAATAAGGGACTAGAAAAGATGAGGACTGAAAAGACAGCTACTTTAAGGAAGTGTTATCTGGTAAGGCTAGAGTTAACCAGTTCTGGAGGGTTAACTCCAGAACTATGTGAGGGGGAACTCACATATTTCCTGGCCAGTAAGTGCCTTTAGCTCTTTGGCTTTTGATAAGGTTTGTCAGAGTGTTTGTGAGCAAATAACTGTAAAGCACAAGTCAGATGATGTTTGATCTGCATGAGAATTTTTTCTGACATGCCACCTCCTCAGAGGTTTTATGACTACTTTTACTTGACAAATGCAATTATTTCTTTTATGGAATTAATTTCTGTGGGCTTTTTTGTTGGTTTTTGGTGGGCAGGGGTGAGGTGGGGTGGGGCTTTCCTGCTGGTACTGAGTATTAAATTCGAACTTGGCAAGCATTCTACTCTTGAGCTATTTTCTCGATTGCTGCAGCATTCGTTTCTTTTCAGCCATATGCCCCTTCTTGAACACAGTACAAATCATGAATTGGTCTGTGTATATATAGGGAAAATATAAACTACAAAAGACCAAATGGCTTTTAAGAAAATATACGTTTGTCGTAAGGCAGCAGCAGTAATATATAGGTAACATTAGAAAGTACTGCAGTTGGGGCTGGAGAGATGGTTCAGTGGTTAAGAGCACAGAACCCAATTTGAATTCTCAGCATCCAAGTAAGGTGGTTCACAACTTCCTGTAACTCCAATTCCAGGGGATCTACTGCCCTCTGCCTCCTTGGGCACTGCATCCAGTTGTGTACACACACACTCACACGTACATAAATAATAAAAATAAAATCTTAAATTATTTATAAAGGAAACAGTGCAGTTCAGTGTAAAAGCACCTCTTCAAAAATGCGTTCTTTCCATTGTGATATTCATATGTAGATGTATCCAAGGATTTCAGAGTAAGTGAAGACCCTGGAGTCCAAGGTTTCTCAGAATGCTAAGTGAAGTTCAGACCCAGAAACCATGAATAATGAGATGAAAGCTAAGAGGAAGAAGGAAAGCATAACCCTGGCGCTTGACGTACAGCTGTGTAGGACCACATGTAGCAGCCCTCCAAAGGCCCTGTCTCCTCTCTTCATAGACCAACACAGAAGGATGGCTGAGGAACAGAAAAATGTTCCTAGTGAACTTAGGATGTAATTTGAAGCCCAGGAGAACAGGGTCAGTAGCAGAGAAAGGGAGGGGAACTGGCTTTAAATGAAAACCCTGTAGCCAGTCATTAGTCTAGCACATCATCTACCTCTCATTTGTTAAAGCAGCTTTGAGTGAGGTGAGAGTTTTCCTCTAGGGATATGGAAAGTGAAGCTCAGAGAGACAACCCACACAGGTGGTTAATACCTAGGTTGAACCAGATTTACCTTTGAAGCCTTTCCTTATTCTACCACTTTCTTAGTGACCCAGTATACTAAGAAGGTGCCTACATTTTAAGTGAAATAAGCCCAAGCACATGCTTCCCCTTCTTAAGTTATTAATGTGGTATCTTACAGTTGGTTTCATTATGCCTGAAGATGCATTTCATTTTCTCATTAAACAAACAAAAAGCTGGTAGTGCCAGTAATTTGATATGCCCTTAATGTGGGGGACTGAAAAAGACCCGTGTGTGTATAACAAGTCTAACCTGTTTTTAGTGTTTAACTGGCCAACTCCTGTCTGAATGTTCTTTTAAAAAGTAATTATACCCTTTGGGGCACACTCATCTAACTCTTGACAGCTATTCACCTTAGATCCCCATCTTGTGGGACTGCATTTGCTTCTATTAGTATTTTTCTTCTTCCTTTTTTTTAATGGAAGGAACATGTATAGTCACCTTTGTAAATTGCCCTGTGAAAAAAGTAGAGTACAGAAATACCTTTGATTCTCTTTGTGGGTATTTATCACCTGTTGAAAATTTTGCTTCCTATAATTTTTGTCTAGGTTCATTTTGTCGTTTTGAGAGTTAATTCTACCTACGTATAATACAGTTGCTTCCTATATGTTGTAGCTTAACTTCGGGATCCTAGGTACACGGAAAAAGTTATCTGCTGAGCTTGAATATTTTTGTTTTTTGTTTTGTTTCATTTGTCTTTGTTGGTGGTTCTTACTTTATTTTCCTGTTCTTCCTCATTCACAGATGGTGGCCCTCGAGAGACATTGATGCATTTTGCTGTGCGGCTGGGACTGCTGCGGTTGACATGGTTCCTGTTGCAGAAGCCTGGTGGCCGTGGAGCTCTCAGCATCCACAACCGGGAAGGGGCAACGCCTGTAAGCCTGGCCTTGGAACGAGGTTATCACAAACTTCACCAGCTTCTAACTGAGTAAGTGCTCATTCCCATTTACCTCTTCTTGTCGGTAGCCCCACCCCCGATTCACAGTTGTACAGCCCACTGGCTTCTCTGTGTGGGTTTGCCAGTTAAAACATTGACTCTGTGCCTTGCCAGCTGCTGGAGTTTGTAAGCTTCCTCCTGCTAACTGCTTCATAGTCTGAGAGACAAACGTGAGTCATGTTACCATTTTCTTTCTCTGGTCTCTGTTTTCACTGCCTCTTACCTCTTATATTTTATTGAAAACTCAGAATGAAATCTTCTCTGTGAGTGAATAGTTTAACACTACCAGTGTATAGTTTTTCTGGCTGAGTATAGGAGAAAACAGCTTGCCTATATCATGTATTTTTTTCTGGCATGTCTTCAAGACTTGAGTTAATTAGAAATCAATTCTTTGATATTATAATTATGTATAGAAAATGTGGTAAAAAGTTGAGTTTTGATTTGAATACTGTTTCTGTGAATAAAATTTGGAGCATTAGTTTTTTCATGAGTAGCAGTTAAAAGCAGTTGTATTACGGAACTGTGCAGTAGGAAATCGTTTGTCTTGGATTCCGTTGCTACATGTCTCTTTAAAGAATCCTTTGGAGGAAGACTGTTAGTCAAAACATCGGAGGAATTTTTTTTCTTTACAAATAAAGGAATAAATTCATTAGAGTAGCCAGTACTTTTCATTGGAATATTTCTCTTGTTTAACATATTTTTGCTAGTTTTATGATCAGAATAATTTTTCTACCACATTACTAAATAGAAATAAACTGTATTAGATTTGTGTTCTTTAGCAGTCGAGGAATCCTTATAAACTGAAGTATTTCCAAATTCTCGGATACTTCACTTGAGTCAGATTTAATTTAGTTGTATCTTATTACTTATCATTTTCAGTTGTATGTGTGCAAGGTAATATGGAAGGACCACAAAGAGATCTTTGAATGTAATAGAACAGTTACATAAGCAGGGTTTTTGTTTTGTTTTGTTTTTTAACTTCATTTGCAGAGCTTACAACTTTCCCATTCAAGCCATGCAGAAAGTTCTTTTCAGTGGCTGCTATGATACAGTAGCAGAAGGAGGGACACTCTTCATCTTGGATGAGCTTTGGATACCTGATCTCTTTTATGACTATATTTTTGAGGTGTGGCCTATTCTGTTCCTTCATTCTTTCTGTCTGGTTAGTGATTAACTTCATTCTGCTGTTTGCCTCATGGGGGAAAGCATTGTTTAAGAAATGGAAACAGTTAACATCATAACTATTGTGATGTTCAAATGAAGTTACTCCAAATTTGATGTTACAGAGTTTTTGCGGGGAAGCAGAGTTGGTTGAGGACTGCCATTCAAATGGGGAAATAAAGTGATTGCAACACCTTCCTTGTGTGTTTGGACCAGGATGTCACAAGATAGTTATTGCAGCACAACTTTAAGAAAACTGGAATATGTTTATTCTTGGAGACCTTTTGCTTAAAGCCCCATATTTGGGGCTTGCGAGATGGCTCAGTGATTAAGATCACTGACTGCCCTTGCAGAGGACATGGGTTTGCTTCCCAGTACCCACATGGCAGCTCACAACTGTCTATAACTCCTGGCCTTGGCGGGCATTGTATCACACGGGTGCACTTACATAAATGTAGGCAGACACACACAGCAAATAAAAATGAATTTTAAAAGTCCAATCTTTGTTACATGTAGAAAAGTGAGCACTAATTTTTCCCCTTGAAGGGAGAATGTTGAAGGAAACAGACCATCTGTTTCAGGTCTTTCCCTTAGCCTGAATTCTTCTAGGCAGTTATTCTTCTGAAGCCAAGGAAAAGTGCTGAGTCACAGCTAGCCATTAAAAAGGTAGAGGTGAGTTTCTTAATTCTCAGTTTTAGTGTAATGCTGGTAGATGTTGCTGGAATTTCAGCCATAATGGGTTAAGAATGATAATTTTTCCTTCTCTTTATTGTGGGAGCGCTGACACATATACACCATAAAATTTTCCCTTTTTTTCATTTTCTGCTGTATAACTCACAGTATTGTGTAACTATCACCACTGCCCATTTCCAGAGCCTTTTCCTGACCTCCTACAGAAACTCTATATCATAAAGTACTAGCTCCCTATTCACTTTCTACACTCCTCGCAACTGCTTTCTTTCCCTAAGAATTTCCCCTTTCCAGGCACCTCAAATCAGTGAGAATCATACAATATCTGTCCTTTGTGTGGCTTCTTTTACATAACACAGTGTCCTCAAGATTCAGCCATGTTATAGTATGTGTCAGATGAATAATGTGTATTTTGGGATTGCTAAGAGATTTAAATGTTCTCATCATACAAAGGTACATAAAGATGATGGATATGTTAAGTAGATTGATTTAAATAATTTTTTGTTTTAAATAATTTTTATACTGTATACATATTATCAGAATATTAGCTTGAATATCATAAATATACAGTTAATCCTTGCTCACCACCCCCCTTTTTGAGTCAGGATCTCTCTGAAGCCCAAGCTGGCCTGGAACTCACTATGTAGACCAGGCTGGCCTGTGAATCTCACAGAGATCTGCCCACCTCTGCCTCCTATTTGCTGAGATTAAAGGTGTACATTACCACATCTAGCCATTACTTGCCAGTTTTGAAAAGGCCCACATGCAATTAAAAGGTAAAAATAGGGACTGGGGAAATGGTTCAGTGGTTAAGAACATTAACTGCTCTTGCAGAGGACCTACATTCAATTCCCAGCACCCACATGGTGTCTAATGATCACCCATAACTCCAGTTTCAGGGGATTGGTTGCCTTCTTCTGGCCTCCTCAGACATTGCAAGACATGGGTACACTTATAGACATGCAGACAATACACTCATAAACATTTAAAAAAAAAAAAAGATAAAAATAACCTAAATGTTGATCAATGGATAATGAGTAAACAAAACATGCAAACAAAATGTGTGTGCATAGGATGGTATAGTATCCATATTAGGAAGGAAATAGGTAGATTGCCTTTAAAGAGACAATTGATTGGATTAGGGAAACAAGGTAATGAGCTAGAAGTAGATGCCAAATCTCTGAACAGGCTCTTTCTACCAGTGGGATCCTTACCAAGCATCACTACATATAAACTTCATAGGATTTATATTCTTTTAAAAGCAGGCAAGTTTATGGACATTTCTGAGTAAAGGGCTTGTTTTGGGAGAGTCACAAAAGTCAGAAGTTAAGAATTGCTTATGCATCACTGTATGAGGCTGTTTTTGCAGTGTTTACTAAAATCTTTAGACGTCAGCTGACTTACCTGTCCTTTCCCTACATCATTTTTTTCACACAGGTCTGACCTACTCATACTTCCTCCTTCCTTCTCTTCTTTTCTGGCACTGGGGATTGAGCCCAGAGACTTATGAGTTATAAGCATGTACCTTTTGCTACTCAGCTACATCTGCAGCTCTTTTTGTGTGTGCCTGTGTACATACTGATAGAGGATAGAGGTTAATACTAGGCATCTCTCTTATTGCTCTTTTCATTTTTTAGAAAGGATTATTCACTGAAAATTGAGCTCACTATTTTAGTTAGACTGGCCAGCCAGTGTCTCTGGGGATCTGTTGCCTTACAACGCTGTGCTAGGAGTATAGATATAGACTGCCATGCCTGACTTTTTATGTGGATGCTGGGAATATAACTCAATCCTCTCATTTGCACAGCAAGTACTTTACTTACTGAACCGTCTTTGCAGCTTAGGTCTGCTTTTTTCATCACCTCTTTTTTTAAAATTTAGACCAGATTGAGGTAGGGTTATGTAATTTTTTAAAAAATAAAATGGCTATTTACATTTTAGACTGTGAGGTTAGTATAATTGCTAACTTGATAGACTCTAGAGTCACCTGGGAGATTGGTTTTTGGGGGTACCTGGTAGAGCATATCTTTTTTAAAAAATATTTTATTATTTTTATTTTATGTGTATGAGTGTATTGCCTGCATGTATGTGAGTGCACCCATGTCATGCAATGCCATGGAGGTCAAAAGAGGGCATCAGATTCGAATCCACTGGAACCGGAGTTAAGGATGGTTCATAGCCACTATGTGGGTGCTGGGAATCGAACCTAGGTCCTCTGCAAGAGCAGTCAGTGCTCTTAACCGCTGAGCCATCTCTCCAGCCCCAGGAGGAGCATATCTTGATTGCATTACTTGAGGTGGGAAGCCTTGCCCAATGGGGGTGGCACCATTCCCTGGATGGAATTGTGGGCTGTGAAGTAGGGAAAGCAAGCTGAGTTCCAACATGCATTCATTGCTCTGTTTCCTGAATATGGATGTGATATGACCACTGCTTCAGGCTTTCCTTGACTTTGCTTCTAAGATGGACTGAACCCTAGGAGCCAGAATAAACTCTTTCTCCCTAAAGTTGCTTTTTTTCAGAGTATTTTATCACATGAACAGGAAAAAGAAACAGGCATAGTTTTCATTTAAAAGTTATTTTAATTCCCTTTAAAGCTCTCTGAGTATATATTTTGTTTGCATTCTCTATTGCTGTTTGTTTATTTGTGGAGGATAAGGAGGTACTTTGTACTGCTAAGAGTCTAAATTCCTTTTGTGTTTTTGTGTCAAAACTTAATTTTATTAATAGTTTGTTCTGAAAAGCTGAGTTTCATGTTTGTGAGAGAATGATGATTTTTGTTCTGAGATAAAAATTATCTAAGACCCTTGTCTTTAGATAAAGCTTGAAATTGCCACTAAATCTCATTAGGTAGTAAGAGTTATTCAGAATGTTTTTTTCTTCATAAGTATATTTATTAAAAATAGAGATTAGGGTCCTGTGCTTAAATTTCATTGCAGGTATACGTTGACTTAAGTAATTCCAGAATTAATTGTAAAGGACTCTTCACAGATATACTCTGGACAGAAGTTGTTTTAGTAAGGTTTCTCTTGAGGAACACAACTGAAAGAATATGAGAGGATGGGGGTGGAGATTGTCAAGGTCTGGGTAGCTCAGCAATGACTGTACCGTGCTGGAGAGCCTTAAAATCTAGCAGTTGCTCA